GAGAGAGAGAGAGATTGATTCCAGACCTTTTCAGATTGGTGTGGTAATCTATTTGTTTCACTTTATGGTTTATATACTACATCTTTAAGGTGTGATATTGCATTAATACTCTTTATAAAGATAATATATTACATCTACATTTCCTTCTTATTATAAAATTCAGCATTGCCCCCACACTGCTCCTGCACATCAATTTTACAACTATACCCCAATGCTGCTCCTAGATTTCACTTCCTAAGAGCTCCCCTTATGTTGTACACTGGTTTGAACCATGGATGACTTGGCCACAAGAAACCAATGCCTGATCTTCGTCAATGCCTTAATAAGGATATCGACAATCAGATTTTTGGTTCCAACAAACTTAGCTTCAGTTTCTTGTCCTTTGGTTTTTTTCAAACAAAACATTTTTCGGTTTCTATATGTTTTGTTTTTAGGTGCCGTTTATAAGGCTGCAACCTTATCTGTGGAAGTAAACATGTCCATATATTGCGCATTTTAGCCTTTACACCTTCAATTGTGAATCTCCCTCACCATAGCCAGGTGGCTGCTTCATCTATGCTTCTTCCTTCAAGTCATAGGGAGAAATGCATTTTCCATATCTAGTCAATGTAATGGGCAATCATTTGTAACAGCAACAGAGAATGAGTCTAATCATCCCCATTTTGACTACTTGACTGATTTGTCTTTTTTGGTCTAATCCATGCTCCTATGCATATCCTTTTTCTACAAGATGAGCTTTGAACCTTTCAATCGTTCCATCTGCCTTGTGCTTTACTTTAAACACCCATTTGGAACCAACCACATATTTATTGGTCAACCCACTATCTCCCATGTATGGCACTCATGAAGAGCCCATATCTCTTCATTCATATTTCATAGCTTCTAAGTAGTAATTTCTTGCCTCTCAAGCAAGCATATTTTGTATTTGTCATAAAGACTTAATGTTGAAGGGTGAATGCTTCACAACTAATTCCGTTTTCAACTGGGTTCTGATTTGACTAGATCTTCTGACTGGGATATCTTGATCATTTGAATTGGAGGTCGACACTTGCTAATTACCTGTTACATATTCTCCAATTAACATGGGTTGTCTTCTTTCACCTCTTGCAAGTTGTTATCGCGACCTTGTATTTGGTCACTTTGAACCTCCAAATGTGTCCTTTCGTTCATTGAAGGCAGTCCAATATTTCAGCAGGTGCAGGTATGTGCTGTCTTTTATAAGTTTGCAATGGCTTATTATTATGGTTCAGACTTCTGCTGTAAGTGACCGTTGACTGTTAACGTTTGAAATAGTCAATGGGTTTTGACTGGAACTTCTCATTTGGTACATTTCTGATGACATCCTTGGAGTAGTTCCATGTTCAACCAAGGCCAGTATACCTTGCTGTGCTACTCTCAGTAGGCATTTCCAGCTCGCCGATATTAGATTCCTGGAATTTCATCTGCACCTTCAGAGGCTAGCAACCCATTCTTGACCTGTCCATCTTCCGCACTAAATGAACCTTCATCTTGCACCTCATGAGATAATAATTCGTGAATTGCTTTGATTATTATACTGATAACCGTTATACTCATCGGTGTATCCAACAAGTTGACAAACTTCAGCCTTTGGAGAAAGTTTGTTCAGTAGGCTCTTATAAATATGCTCGTACCACATACACCCAAAGGTCCTTAGCATTGCATAGTCTGGATTCCTTCCATACAACATGAAATAAGGGGACTTTCCATCGAGAACTGTAGACGGTAGCCGATTTATAATATGTATAACAGTATGAAAGGCCTCACTCCATAACTCAAGAGGGGCTCCTCGTATGTGCATCATAGAAAGTGCAGTGTCCCCAATGTACCAAATGTTCTCTTTCAGCTGCACCGTTTTGTTCCAGTGTATCGGGGAAAAATTTCCGGTGACTTACTCCATGACCACAAAGGAACTTCATGAATTCATTGGAAGTAAATTCACCCCCACTATTACAAACTCAACAACTAGGACAACTGACTTGTCCAATGAACTAATTGGAAAAGAAAGGGAGGGAAATTGGGGAAATTGGCCCTTTACAGCAAGACTCATAAGAAATGACAAATTGCAGTGGGCTAAACGACAGTGCCATAAACCCAGCATTGCTTGATTCAACACATCAACTTTAGAGACACGCAAGAGTAACTTCTTCAACTCTTGACTTCTTTGATAAGATATAGATTCCCACATTGTTCCCCTTTATGTACATCTTCTGCATGAGAAGATCCTTCACATACACAAAACAGGGTGTAAAATGTTTTAGGAATTTGCATAACCAATTAGTGTGACACAAAAACAAGGTTTCTCTTTATTTGTGGAATAAGAGAAGTGTTGGAAAGAACTAAAGAATCAGGAGAAGAGGACACTGATCCACTTTTTACATGTTAGATGGTGTGGATCATTCCCTCTCCAGATTTTGCTTTCCCATGATATGGAATTAATTTTGGAAACTTATCAACATACCGAAAAACATGATTGGCTGTGCTTAAAAAGCCAAAACATTTGTAGAGTGAGCTTCATACAGGTTTGGAAACTTTAGTCACATTATTAGCGATATTGATGAGGTCTAAAACTCATACTTCACCATCCTGAATTTCCAACATTAAAGATGAACCAGCAGTTGATAGCACCATGTCCTCCTTGCTTGCATAACTGACATATGATATTGGCATTCTTTGCAAGCTGAGTCGATGACCATACCTCTTCCTCCAAAAGTCATTATTCCGATCTCGTCCTCTTCATTATCAAAATTTTCGTCCTCTCCCATGATTGTGAGAAGAAGAGAACATGATTCAATGATACAATAAACACATGGTACTTAGAGATTAGGCTAACAAGAATTTGTTGTACTTGTACCTAATCATTCTCAGAAACTGGTTTGTCCAATAGTTAGCAAGTTTATCAGTGATGGTCTTTGTACTTGTGCAGATACTCCTTGATAATAGATGATTTCCTTTTCAAGTTTTGAAATTCCCTTCTAAATTGCGGATACCAGGCTTTTGAGTCTTTGGAATAAGTCTTGTGTAGACAATTCTGCAATTCTATCACACTAAGTCATCCATAATCGCACACAGCACTTCTTGAGACAACATGGACATAAGGCATGTGACCATTGATTGATTTTGCTTTATCCAAGTGCTGTATGTAGTATTTTCATTTGAAACCATATCACAAACTCCCATTTTTATTGTTTTCGTCTTTTTTTTCTTAATCGGCATAGGATCAAATCCATCCAAGTGACTCCTAAGGCCAACACTGGAATGAAGGGCAAGATTGACGCTTCAATGCAAGGAAATTAATCTTTTATAAACAAGTTGGGGAAGAAATGAAGAGTGCAAGGGTTGAACCATTGAATGGGGTTCTTTTTGTTTTTTTGAATTTTAGGGCTCCTTTTTGAGTAATTGATTTTGGTTATCTTCTTTTTCGAAGAAACTGATTTTGGAGAAACAATGGAGCCTTTCTTTTTGATACTAGAAATCAAGGAAAGATGAGAGAGATTAGGTATAAAAGAATTTAATCCGTTAGTTTAAGACAAAGATGAAGTTAGAGTTTATGTGGAGAAATTAGAGGAATATTAAGTGAAAAGAATTAGATGTAGAGCTATTCAGATTTAAGAGGAAGGAGAAAAGAGGCGGAATTAGCTCTGAGAAGAAGAGGAAAGGAGATGAAATTTGGGTTTATAGGAGAGGATTAGGCTTTTCAGGTTAGGTTTTAGCTTCGGCTGCCTTGTCACCTAGGCGATATGGTCGAGAAACTGCCAAGGCTTCTAGGCGTGCATGCCCAAGGCAGGAGCCTAGGCGGGCTCAAGGCAGGCATCCCTTCAAAAAAAAAAAGGAAGGAAGGATGGACTCTCTCTATCTCTCTCTCGGGTACATGTGCTCTCTCTACATTTGAGAAGAAGAAGCAGAAGATGGACTCCAAGTGTTTGATGAGCGACCTCTCTCACACACATATACACAAAAAGATACGCATTGACCTATATGCTCCCTTTTTCAATGTTGGAAGAAGAAAAAGAAGAAGACGGCCTCCAAGTGTTTGATGCAAGGTCCTCTTTCTCACATACTCCCTCTCTCTCATTCTCTCTCGACATATCCTCCTAGTGTTTGAGATCTCTCTCTCTCTCTCACAAATACAGATACAAAAGAGAAAAAGAAAAAGAAAAAAAGAGAATGATCTTTAAGAATTTCATACGAAACCTCACGCACACACATACATGCGCATGCATACACACACGCACACTAAACACACACACATTCACACAACACATACACACAAAGCATATAGCCTCCACCGCAACCCCTTCCTTTCAGTGCTTTAAAAGGCGGACCACCTAGTGCCTAAGCGGCTCAAAGAGCTTGACCGCCTAGCCCAAGCCTAGGCGGGTGCCCAACTCCCAGCCTTGAGAGGCCCGCTTATGGCCTGTGTTGTGCCAAGGGGCGAAAATGCTCCTCGTTGAAGGGAATTTTTGGGTCTTTTTTTTAATAAAAAGGAGGAAAATTGTGGATTTTAGAGCCTATTTTAGAGCGAGAAAACCCCCCAAAAATTATTTATTTGTGATTTCTATGAGACCGAAGGGTTTCTCAAAGTTATGAGAAATTGATTTAAACATCACCAATTGCTATTAAATTTAGTTTTGAAGGTTTTAGAAGTTTATTAGAGGGTTTTTTAGAAGAAATTGATGTGCTATCTTGGATTATGGACTAAAACAATTTTCCTTTCTACTGGCCGCCCAGGTTCTGGGCGTCTTGGACCCCCACGGCTGCCTAGGTGCCGCTAAGTGTTTTTTGAAACACTACTTCCTTTAGTGACACAAGCCGCCTGGCTTTGTGTCCGGGCCTCCGCCTTTTTGAAACTTGGGTTTTAGAAAGAAGATGAGCATATCGGTTAGGGTTTTGAAGAAGATGGAGAATATCTATTAGGGTCTTCAAGTTAGGGTTTAGATGGAATTAAATATATAGGAAGAAGATCAGTTAGGGTTTTGAAGAAGAAGCAAAAGTAGACAGGAGTGAAGAAAAGGAAGAATTATGGGTATCCTTGATTATGCTGAGATATTCCTTGATCGTTGATTCGATACCATGTAAAAATGAAATGTTAAGAGATGGAGAGGTGAGATGGACTGCAAGTCATTCCACTCCTTTTCAGATTGGTGGGATAATCTCTTCATTTTGTTCTTATATTGCATTCTAGATTGGATACTTGGGGTTTCTGGCCTTTAAAAGCCTTGAGTGCATGTAAGTATAATAAATCATAGTGGATTCTACACTTAGGTGGGAGAGTGTACTATGGCTGACTGACGTAGAGTTTGGCGGTCTATGGCCTAGGTCATGTCCAAAACCCTTACCCTTGGGCATGTGGCACTTCCGTTGCCAGTTTATAGAGAGTTATTCTTTCTTGAGGTTGGAGAGATGCTTAGGGTTGTTTGTAGGCCAGAAGAGCTATGTGGTCTCTTGTGAGGGGATGTAGGCTTGTGAAAGCAATGGCTAAATACTCAACAAAACTTATGCAAGGCATATGAAATTGACAATGGCATTTTGGGAAGCATTCCTATATAGAGGGACATGTGTGTATGAGAGAGAGCCCCTTGTACTATAGTGATATGTGCATTTTGACTTGCTCTTAAGGGGGGGAACCTGTAATCCACATACTAGGACTATGTTTTCACTACTTATTGATCAGTTTTAACAGGCCAATCATGAGCCCTTGCACTAGACTGTGGGTCGTGGGTCTCATTAGGTTGGTTTGAGAAGACAACTGTGGATCGTGAATCTTGATATGGGTGGAGTGCCTTGATAGTCACTTGTTTTTGACCTATATGGTAACAATCCACTTCTAAAGGTGTTTCTGTGTTATTAAGTGTTTTTAGAACTCTAGAAATATTGTTTTCAACTAAATATATGTTTTTGTGATTTTTGAATATTTTTGAGAATTTTAGAATGATTCTAAATGGCATAAAAAATCCCAAAAGGGTCTGTGATTTTTCTAAAAGGGGGTATTTTAGAAAATAGTGTTTTATTGGGTGGGACCCACGTGTAGGGGGACTAAGAGCCTAGCCCCACACGTGTGGGGTGCACGTGGCATGGGATGTGCGACCCACACACCCCACATAGGGTGAGGCCCCTAATTTTTGTTCATGTTGATGATTGATCAAACAACTTGATTGAACATCACGATTTGAGACCACGGTTTTGATTGATCAATATAGGTCATTAACTTCCCGCCTAACCTTACCTACCCTGCCCTTGCTATCTTTGCCTTCTCATCCAACCTTGAGGCAGATAGGAAGATCGATTTTCCACTCACCGGATACAAGTTCTTCAGTAGTAGTGCCTTTGTAAATTGGGCTCTGCTTCTTCAATGGAGTGTACGGAACTGCTCGGAGTGCCAGACGAACGACTGCTTCTTCGGTGCAATGTATGGTAGCAGACAGTGTGAACCTTGTTCCTCAATTCACGTATCCTGTTGATTCGTCTCCAAACAAGAACTGCCGACATGAAAGAGGTGATCCCCACGTCCCGTGCTTCAATGACTATAATCGCAACAAATCCATATGTGGTGACTTGACTAGTTATGTTTCCAAGAGAGAGATATCATGGTGGAAGGAAACCTTGGTGGTTATTTTTTTAATTTTGAAAAATATACTATTCGTTGGAAATATCTCTTTAGAAAATCTTTTGTGAGTTTTTGTGGGATCTAGAATATCTTTGCCCAAATTTAGTAGTATTTTAAATTCCTTATTATCGCTTTGTGGGGGAAAATGAATTCTAAATAATTGTCGAAGATTAGTTTTGCCTGGTTGAAAGTCAAGATTGATTAGAAGTGGATATCGGTCAAATCTCAGGGGACAAAGTTCCTAAATATTCACTCTAGATCATAATGGTCATCTTAGAGGTGGATAACTCAGATTGTTTCTCTCTCTTACCTCATAGATTATCTAAATATTTTGGATAGTGCCAAATCCTAATCTAAATGGGGCACTATAGGGCCCTTGAGCTTTATAAATAGGAGGACCTCCTCATCCTCTACATGTTTTTTCTTTTAAATTAGTGTTTCATCTTCTTAGGGAGATTACTGGAGAGCACCATGTCCCTCCTTTCTCCAAGGCTAAGGCATGGTAAGTATATGGGTTTATGGATGAACTATGTAGAGTTGTTCTTTTTAAAGTCATTGTTTATGTCCATATTATGAGTCCATAAAGGTGGTTTGACATGTTAGTATAGTATTTTTCTTTTGGAGCACTCCAATTAGTTTTTATTCCATGCAAAATCTTGTTCTATTTACTTGGCAGAGTGGTTACATTGTTTGTTCTATAATACATAAATATTGAATTAAGGTGTAAATGGGTCTGTTTGGGACAGGTCAACCCTGACCTGACTGGGTCCTTGTTAGACTGGGACCTGACCAGGACTTGGGTCCGGTCTAGGTCAATTGGACCGACCTAGTCATGGTCTACATAAAAAATTAAAATTTAATCTCTCTATTTTACAATATTTAAATAGTATATAAGGAATCGGGCTTGGGTCAAAGCGGTAGCAATTGGGTTTTTATAGCACTACATCTCAAGTTCCATTCCTATGTAACCTTGTCAAAACAAAAGAAAAAAAAATAGTATATAATTGAACATTACATGGATATCTACATGGTCAGGTCAACCCCTACTTGAACCCCTTTCGGTATGGATCCGGGCCTGGAGCCGACCCAGGTTGGGTCAAAGTCAAATGTACTCGGGCCCAAACCTGTTTAACACCCCTAACTGATATATTTTTGATAATGACAAATAGGAATCATAGTGTTCAAGATGGGAGCTGTTCCGGGTGAGGAGTGGGTGATTGTTGATGTCTGCAAGCTCCCTACTTTGAGATCCCTGATACCTTCAACATATAATAAGATAGTAAACTTTTCAAGATATTAAAAATTCATTACTTTTTTCTAATGGTATATGGATGCACATCTTTATAAAACTTGCAAGTGGGCTGGATGTCTATCTTCTTTGTCTCTGTTTTTTTTTTTTCTAATTGTATTCCTGCGTCTTTTTTTTCACTCTCCTTATTTGAGATTGGCTCTCATAGAATATTGCAATTTCCACAATTAATAGAGGAATAGTCATGAAGGGAATTAATAAGTAGAGGAGACTGGGGATTGAATTCCAGAGCTTTGCTGCATACAGTTCGATAATATGTATGTAAATTTACAATACATTTTGTAAATTGGTTATACAAAGTGTGACATTATTATCCTTGTTTTATTCTAGATGAACATGAAAGAATTAACAAATGCAGCGACCAATATAACATTATGATGAAAACCTGATAATCACTAATGGTCAATATAGCCCTTGTTGACTGTTCCTCTCTGTGAAAGCTTTATTATCGATTATATCTTCTTTTGCTTGCTGGACTTTCTATCAGAGAGCCTCCTCAATCCCTACATGGTGACATCTGTAATCAGAAATTGAGCCTTTGGAAATCGTTATTCAATTCAAGTAATACCGCTTCCCATGAGTTTTCTGCAAGGTCAATGCATGCTACAAGTGCAATATTAAGTGATACACATTGCATATAATCACTGAGTGCACTTGCTTACGGTTTGCAATGCCACATTAAGCATGTTTCGGAGTGGTGGTTGGATGAGTGGAAATGAGGTCTCAGTCCCTTGGTTATAAATTGCCACCATGAATGGTTAAATCTCACTCCTTAAAATTTATGTTGACGACCTCTCCTCGTGCTGCAGTTCAAATCATTTAACATTCTTGTATTGTTTTGACAGCTACATGTGAGTTGCCATGCAGATGATATACTTCAATTTGTAAATTATTTTGTTGGAAACTGCCAAAATGCAAGTAGTGATATCCAAAAAGGTGCTGTGAAACTTCTAATTGAAGTTGCAAATAAGAGCATTCAGGTACAAGTTTCAACTGTTTGTACTAAACTCTCTCAATTGCTCCATTCATGTAAATAGAATCTTCTAATAAATATTGTATGTAATACATACAAACAAAAGACCCTAGCTTCAAACACCTGCAATTTTTTGATGTGATATCCGTGTGTGTACGTGCCATTATGTGTAATGGAATGTCATTTATTTCCAAATATGACTAGAATTCTAAATCATAACTCCTTTCTCAGGTATCACGTCATACTTATGCAGTGCTTAGTATTTATGGTGCTGGCCTATATTTTCTAGATCGTGATGTGCTGGCTAGAAAGAGTGGTTTAGTTTCTGAAACGAGAAAGATTAGAGCTGGCATACCACTAGATGGTGAAGAAACACTGGGGTACTTGCCTGGTTCAGTGACACTGGAGCTCTTGCCTGTTTTTGTACTTGAATTGGTTAGTTTTATTCAGAGGGATGAAACATGGGAAAAAACATTTCCTAACCTTGAGGGAGGGCAAACCAGTTTTTCATGTGGTTCTCTGGGCCTTAGGTCTGATGGTGATAGATCTTGCACACATCTGCATGGTGAAATTTCCTCATTGTCCTTCTTGAATGCCCTGGAGTCCTTGTGCAAGCCTTTTGTGGAATTTGTTCGTGTCGAATGGGAATGTCTCCCATTGGAAAATAAAGGAATGCCCTGCTATGTTAGCATAGATGTTGTTCTCTACGCACTCCATCTATTCTGTGTTGGGTTTTCTATTGGATCCAGGTGATAATTAGAATCAGAGTTCAGCTGTTTATTTCTTCTGAATTTTATTTGTTTTTCAAATTACTTTCTCTGCCATTGACCTTGCTTCTACCAGTCTCTCATGCCTTCTTTGAGTAGAATGTTTGGGAAGAGCCAATGGAACTGAATCGTTTACACATTTGGTGCAGTCATTTGCTTGAACAGGATATGGAGAAGCTGCATAAGAGCCTGCCTACTTTTCTTCTTGTAATAGTTGCCTATCTGAAGCTTTCTCTGATGACTCTTGAGAGTCCCCAGGTAGTTTTTAGTTGTATTCTAGGTATTATTCTGATGTGGAATTAATGCCTTATGACACTCATTATATATGCGAAACGTGGATATTTCAGAGACATGTTGACTGCATTGACCATATACTGTCGAGAGGTTGGGTCCGGCCCCAAGATCTCAAATTTCTCATTTCCTCCTTGTACAATATTGTTGTTTCATTGTATAATATGAAGCAGATGAAAAAGGTACCAGCCTTTCCTTAAACCCTTTTCTGGTCAAATGTCAGGATATTGCCTATTTCCTTACCATATGACAGTGTTAATGCCTTAACTATTTTGTTATGTTTATTATTGCAACTTTGCAAGGTTGTTTTTGTACACATGTACATGTATGCTTACATTGTTATCTTGTCTTCATATTTTTTAGCAACATTCATGAAAGATTTGCGTTAAGGTGAAGGTTTTGATTTGGTATTTATCCACAATAAAATATTTGATTTGGTTTTATCTAGGATTGTTTCTTGAATGGGAATATATAGGAGGATTGGTTCTGAATTTCGATCTGTTGTTTTTTTTTGTACTCTTCACTGTATTGTGCTGGTGAACTTTTTAATGAGATGTCTACATTCCTGTGTTTACAGGCTAACCTATTTATATGCTTCACCTTTTATTTTGTTCATCTATTAAGTTTAATTCATGGATTGGAGTTATTAGAAAACGCTGGTTTTTCATACTTTGCATGATCGTCATGTAAGGACAATCCGTTTGTAGTTCTGAAAACAGTAGATTAACATAAATAATGTAGAAATATACATTAGGAACATGGGCTTTGGCTTATCATTTGTTTTGGTGACGGCTTGAGGTCGCCGCGCTAACTTTGAAAGTGTAAATCCCACATTTGCTACCAAAAGGAAAACCAAGAGAAGTACATTAGCACTTTGAAATGTTAAGTGCATAGCTTCCTGATTTTAATTTTTTTCTATGATGAACCTGTGCAACTGGTTTTTAGTATGACATGTAGTTACGCACATAGGCACACAAAATGCACACATATGCACCCACAGATACATATATATCATTATATATAGATATATATTCTTAGTTCTCCATTATTAAGTAAGTTGAATTAATTTTGGTGTCTGCACCTTTAACTATTTGGTGGTCACCTGGTCAAACTTGCTTGTCCATATATCATTGTATGGCTCAATTTGTTGTGCCTACCGCTTCTTCTTTAGAATATTTATCCGGGGTCTTTCGGGATCATTGGTTACTTTATTACTATGTGGGCAATCTGTAGAAGTTCCTAAGGATTCTATATGATTTCCTTTTGTTGCCGATTATCACACACAACTTCTGATGGCTTGGTATTTTTATCTTTGCTGTCGTTCCTTGTTAGGCCTCCTTTGTGCTAAAATTATGTCACAAAGCAGCATGGGCTCGTGTATCTTTGCTTTGTCAGAAGTACACAAGGAAACCAGTGGGGACTCATAGTGATTTTGTGTCACGAGAATTGATTGTAGATTCTGTCTCAGATGCATGTTCAAAGAGTGCTTTCTTCCTAAATGTTCTTCATCAATGTGGTGACTCTGCTGTAAAAGAGACTTTTGTTGATTGTCTTTCAAAATGGTCTGTTGCTGATACAATGATTACAAGGTTGGCTGAGCCGTTTGATCTGGTGCGGCAATGGGTTAAGGTATGGACTCTTAAATCTTTTTGGTTCTTCTAGATTTGTCAAACTCTTGATATTTTCTAATTCTTATTTTGAATAGATAGTGTGCAAGGATTATGGACATGTCAAGGAGGATGATTCGGCCCCATTGCTATATTTTCTGCTATCAAACCCATACAAATGGTCAAAAATGACAATGGGTGCTATTTTGGAGCAAGTTTTGTGACAATCTCTCTTCTCTCCCTCTCTCTCTCTCTTTCAAACTGTTCTTAGTTTCCTATTTCCTGAACTGCAAATTATCTTGTAATTTACTTTGTGAACCTGTGTGTGTGTTTTTTTTTTCTTCTTATTAGGAGCTTTTAGCCTATGCAGAAATGGAGGTTCGTTATTCTAGTTTTTGTCTGAAGATGCAGCAGAAAATCATCAGCATTCTCTTGGGTGATATCTATGTTACAGAAAACAATTATTTGCTGAGATCAAAGATTCTTCTTTTGAAAAGCAGAGTTGCTAAGGCTAGTGGACTTGGAGGCCTCAATGACTGTCTTCAATGCTTATCCGAATCGATTTGTCTGCTTGTGAGTTTTATGTTTATTGAAATGGCCTATTCAGTTGAATATGCCTGGATTATGGAATACTGAGTTAGCTTTTCTCAAAAAACAGAATACTAAACTAGCTGAAGATCCTGCTGAATGTAATGCTTCATTATGCCACCAATTGGCTATGACGTATTGTTTGCATGCATTATGCACCCAGGAGGCTGATCAAAACTCAGAGGTGATCTCATGGGAAGCATAATTGATCAGTTTAATTTATAGTTCTTCTTCTGTAGATTTGAGGCAATCCATGGGATTCTTAATGATTCTGAACTATTTATGTTCATGTGCAGGTCATCCATCATGATGTCAGTAGTGCCTTAAATTTGTGGGCACAAATTTATGTTTTGGGGTCTTCCATTTTGGATTCTCATCATGAGCTGGGGATGCAAAATGCATTGCCATTGTTGTATCATACTGTTGATTTGCTGTCATTGAAGGTAATTGGTATTTTGTGGAGTGTTTCTTTTGTTATTCTCTCATTCATTTTCTGTTGCTTCTTGAATAAATATTAGTAAGTTCAAACTGTTTCTTTTGTGATTGTTTCATTCATGTTCCATCTCTTCTTCTAGAAAAAATATTAAGTATCATTGTACCCTTTGTTATTTCTGAAATGACTATTTACGGTGGGGCTCATTCTTTACCCTATTCCAGGATTTTTCAAAGTTGAGTCTCAAATTCCATGAGCTGATACTTCAATCATTATGCACCCGAAAGAAAATCCCATTGGGTGAATGCTTGGCAGTGTTTTGGGGTGACAGAAGGCTAAATCATGCCCTTTGTACTGCTCCTATTGATGATGCTTTTATAGCATTTCTATCAAAAGAATTCGAAGTTTCTGCTGACTCTTTCAATTTCTGGGTAAGTTGTATAAAAGGGAATCCATATCTATTGTTAGGGTTCCAGCAGAAATTTCTGCTTGTTGATTCCATTGTGAGGGATACTGCTACTAATCCTTCGAAGGAATGTCCATTGGGTACTGACATATCCTATGAAAAGATAATAGAGGCGGCATCAAATCTTGTCTCAAATGTACGTCCCTTCATTTGTTGATTTGATAAATCCTAACTACCAATTTATTTGAACTGCAATATTCACCAATCTGCAAAATCTTTGATAATTTTTCTAATTTCAGGTTGCCAAAGATACTCGGTCAATTTTCATTGCAGGATATTTATACTACGACTTGAGTGAGAGGCTTGTTTCGAGTGGGAAGTTTTTGGAGGTCAGTGTTTTTAGCCTACTCAAGATCATATTGTTGTAGAAATTTTATATTAAAAACAATTGTCTATAGACCTGATATCTTTTGAGATCTATAAATATACTTGGGGTATATTTTGTATGGTATTCATGTCATGTGCATTTATGGACATTGTGGTGGTGAATACATGCCTTTTTACTCCAAACATCTTGTATAGAAGGGATCAGTCCCTCACTTATTCCTATGGGTTGGTGAACTGGGCTCTAACCCAATACCAGAAGTTGCAATGAACACCCTTTGCGAGGTATAATTAAACCAATTAGTCCCTCAATTAGCATTATTGAAGTTTCTTTAGTTCACTAGAATGCAATGTAATTATTCAGATTAAACCACCATTTCGATAATGGGGTTTGAGAGCCACTACAACACAATGCAATTATTCAGATTAAACCACCATTTTGATAATGTATTTCAATGAGATTGGAGATATGTGATTTGTGCGTTGCGAACATATAATCTGCATTGCCAATCTTAGATTATAGAGTATCGTGGTGCCAAACACGTGTCCTTACAGTCACATGTGTGACTCTAAGCATTTATATTAGTTTAGAGGTTGACCTCTATTTTTCTGACTCGAATGATTTAAATGTTGGGGAGCTTTTGAAGGCGGATTGGATATGTTATAAACTGATATAAGGTTCCATAAGCAGATTTTTGTTCTCAAATTTACACTTTTGCTATTAACAAGAACATAGTAAGATATCCTCGTTTGAGTGGGGGTGCGGATTGGTCCTTTGGGGACCAATGGGCTTTATGGCTAAGATGTCCTTAGAGTAGAGTGGCATGAGAACCATAGATCTCTCGCTGTGGTTTTTGGGCTAGACCTAAGCTGATTGGATTGAAACCAGGGACCCTTGGGTCCAAACTGGCATTAGGCTCGATATATGTGCTGGAGAGGGTTCGCGGGTCATCCCTTGTCAAGATTGAAGTGAACCTAATGGGTGTGTGCCAGGACTAATACATACTCCTGCACTATGAAGGTGTAGATGCTTTTGAGGGCAAGGATCAAAAGCTCGACACCATCGGTATGACATGCACACATGATAGCTGCATCTTTGGAGAAAGACCCGTGTGATCTATGCATGTATGTGATGACTGCGGACACCCAAACCTCGAGTGGCTTATATCTTTATATTAGCTGATCTGTCCTTGTGGGCACCTGAAATCCTCTTAGAGAGGGATCTTTTCGCTTTAGAAAATGATCTTCATATCCATGTGGTAAGAGTTCAAATTCTTCGTAGTATAAATTCATATGTTCATTAAAAATAGCTTTCCCATTAGCTACTTCCTCGATTGCATCTTCTTCATTGAAATGGATGTTTGTTTCAATTGGCAAAAGTGTTGACCATGGATTTGAAGGATAAGATTGGCAAACCCACCTCATCCCCTTGGTTTTGAGTGTGCTCTTGGACTCGAATTATCCTGTCTCAGAGTCTCCCCACTTCCGAGCCTGCTCTGATGCTAGATGGTTGAAACTAGGAAGAGAGAAGAATAGAAGGAGAAATAAACCAATGGGCTATTTTCTTAGTTAGATTTAAAAGTCGCCATTGTATTCTCAGGCTTCTAATGGCCCTCCACCAAGTCCACATCATTGAAAGACCAAAACCCATCTAATAAACCTCAATGCTTTGACCAAATGTAGAATTTCTCCATCTTTAAAACCCATTAGAGAGCATCAAGCAATAGTTCTTGGCCCCAATTTACTTGTTGATGACTTTAATTGACTGAAGAAATTTCATGAACAGCCGCAAAAATCCCTACAGAACTTAAACTCGAAATGCTCTAAACCCAAACTGCATCAAGATGTCAACAAGGGAAGGCTGAGTTTGTCATTCCTCTGCTCAAAGTCCATAAAAAAAGTTTGAAGGACTTTAAGAGGAAGGACCACATCCGTTTCATATTCTATTGACAATGGATGGGTAGGGTATTGTCAAAGGAACATTTATGAAGTACATTATGTATGAATCATTCTGGAAATATTTTTTTTTTTGGGAAAACGACTTATACACCCTCTCTATAATTATAATCCCAAATAACCCCCTGGGTCCATGGGCTTTCCAAGACTCTCTCTAAGCTAAAAGAAAATGATGTTTAACCCTATCTTTTCCTTTTGTATTGTCCCAATTACACCATTTACCTTTTTATCTTTTTTAATAAATCCCATCAGATAAATGGAATGTGTGCCTCTTTTAATCTACTTGTGAGGTTCACAAGATGAGAGAGTAATGGGGGTTCAAGGGAGATTGCAAGCGATAGAGAGGAAAGGAAAGGTTCATGGGTAAGGAAGAGAAAAAGAGAAGGAGAACTTTTATTGTCATTTTCTTTCAACTTGGTGGGGGTCCATGGGCTTTCTATGGATCTGAAGATTTATTTTAGATTATAATTACAAAGAGGGTGGTATATGTCTTTTTTCCTTTTCCTTTTAAATTCTGAATGATGAAAAATCTGTTTCACATAATATTTTTGGTCAGACAATTGAATTTTGTGCTTAATTTTTCAGACATTTTGTTTGATGTGCCAAAGTTTGTTTCATTTTCTACAATGCTCTTTTGTTCTTTCTTTACTCGTATGAGATTTGCTAAGTGATGGATTGGGTTTTTGATATCTTTTTTAGGCTCTTTCGTATGCAAGAAAATCACTTAATTTGAGGAAGAAACTCCTTCAAAGGAATTTCTTATTTTCATCTAAAAGTTCAAAGACGGAAGACATTGGGGATGAAGAAATTAATGTAAATGATAAAGCTGCTAGGTTTTCTCTAGAAATTCTTGGATCGAAAACCAGAAACTTTTGGCCAGAGTTTGTCTCTTGTGGAAAGTTTGATGATTCTATCAGTCCTTGGAATGTGCTTAGGACCTATTTAGAAAGCGCGCTTCAGGTACTTTTCCTTCTCTATTCTATATATTAAAGGGAAATCCTTCTATGTGTCTCAACACTCATAATATATACGTGGCTTGATGCTCACAATAGAGTGAGGTGAGAACAATGTCACAAGCTGTTGCCAGCTTTGTCTGTTAGGCCATAATTATTGTGTAACGTTGTTGTTAGTTTACTCCTAGCTGTTTGGTTAAGATCAGAGGGCTAGATATATACAGACACACAAATTATGAGTTAGAGACAAATACAAAGCTGATCCTATGTTAATATAATTCAAAATGATTTAACATTTTCAGATTTTTTTTAAAAATATTTTTCTCTGATATCGAATAACTTCTAGGTTGGGAGAATTTATGAAGCTATTGGGTGTTCTGATGAAGCTGAACATATTCTATCTGTGGGGAAGGAAATATCTTGTTCGCAAGGTTTCATTCTTTTCGGGGTGACATTTGGGTCTATCTTAGGTATCATAATTTGATTATTCTTTTTTTCTTAGGTATCATAATTTGATTGTTCTTTTTTTTTTTTGTAAATTTAATTTTTGCTTATTCTGAATATGCTGTTCATAAGAAGCAAACTGAAAATACTATGTATTTGTCACCTTTTTCTTGTCTTGCTTTGGTGGTGCAATTAAGTCGGTTTGCTGTTTGATCATTCTGAAGTGCTATAGTTTCATGGCTACAAGAGGTTCTGGATTTTCAAACTTTTGTTGGCTGTTACTTTCGTTTTCCTCCAGGAGAATTGTATTTCAGGAAGCAACTTTGGGATCAATCTGAAAAGGAACTTGTGAATGCCAAGCAGAAATTAGACGACTCCAAATTGCCATTTGCTTGCACGTTGTGTAAATTGACAACGTATTCTATACTTGAGATGCGAATTGGAAACTTGATTCAAAACTATCATGCAAGGGTTAGGGATGTACCTCTTAAGCAGATTTCTGGTTCTGCCCTTGACATTTACACTTCAGCTCAAAATAAACTGTGCCATGCTGAACTGGAGTATTCTTTTTGCTTGAGAGAGAAATCAAGTTCTGGAATTATATCAGACAAAAATGTTGCTGTTAACGAGCCTGGTCGTGAAGTTGCGAAAATGAGTATGTTTGTGTTGCAAAAATGAGTATGGTTATAATTGGGAAATATGAAACCAACTTTTATGGTACTTACTTCAAATGCCTGGATTCATTTTTTACTTTTCTTTAACAGGTCGTGCTGTCCCCAGGAATTCAACATTTGATGAGGATGTAACCTTTCCCATTGATACAAACTCCAGAAAGGCTATGAGGTCTACAAAACGAGCTAATGGCTTTAAGAATGCGAGTACCGATGCCGTAATAGCTTGTAAGCAACAAGGACCTGTGAGAACTTCATCTACTACAAGAAGAACACGTTCCAGTTCTAGGAAAGCCTCCAATCAAGAAGATGATGGAAATGAACAGATGCCAAATGTGTATTCCAATCCTAATCATGTGAATCTTTGCCCCCACATACACTCCCTGAGGGAAACTAAAAAGAGTCTTGGATGTATATGCAGTCCTGAATCTAAATGTGATGGAGGATGTTTATGTGATCAGACATGTTGGATATGTCATGTTGCAAAAGTATGTGCAGCTGGTTCAATGAAGAATTTTGTTGCTTTAAAATGGAGTTTTCATCATAGAAGCATCTTCTCAAGATTGCACCTTAAGATAGGTATGCTGGTATGACAACAAATAGTTCGTTGCCATGATCATCCTTGCAAAAATATATACAGCTGCATGCTTATTAGTGTTTATCTTTCTTGACCAGGAAAATGCCTAAGACTTAATGGGAAGATTCATGAAGTGCATGACAGATTCCATCATAGCCTTTCCTTTCTCTTCCTTGTCAATAGATTGTCATCTTTTCAGACACATTCCAGTGGCACACTTTTCCAGTTTGATTATGTTGAGAAGCAAATTCCTGGAGACATATTTCCTATTGAACGTGCACTTCTATTATACGAGATCAGTTGTTTGACATTGAGATATTGTTTCTCTATGCATTCTAGGTAACATTGATCTTCATTTTTGTTTTTATCTATATCTTTGCAAGATCTGTATGTTGCTGAATGTCTAATCTTGTTTTCTTTTTCCTACTGGCTTTTACATATTCAGAACTTGGTGCTGTGTACCAAGGATAGTAGGTTGGCTTTTACAAGCCTTTGTGGGCTGTCGTGAACTTCCCTTACTCTTCGGAAAGGTTGTTCTCCATTCTGTTGTATTTATATTCTTTTCCATTCCAGCAACCTTGGCCTTTTTTGTTTTTGGCAGCATTCTCTTGAATGCATAGCTCTTCTATTAAATTCAAATAAAATACAAAACTAAATTGTGCCCATATCCTAGAACTATCATGTTCTGGGATCATGTCCTTCATAGCATACTTTTGTCTAGGCATCAAAAGCTTCATCTGGCTCATGTGAATTCCTACTGTTTTAGTCGGATTGTGATGATGCAAAGGCACATGAGATATCTGGGTGCTAACTTATCTTGTGCATTAAGCAGGTCTCAAGATTGCTTGCTATGATACATTTACTCTCTACTTCAGTTGGTCTTTATTCTCTGCCTGTGCATTATGGGAAAAAACTCTCTGCCATTCATTGGGCTGCATACTTCCACCAGGCTTCACTTGGTAGTAGCCTGAATCTACAACACCTTGCTGTTCTGAAGGAAAAAATTGTATCATACAACGACAATACTCTCGAGGTTTATTCCATATGCCTCTTGAATTTCTTGGTGCCATGTGTTTTACTATGAAAAGATAAACTGTTGCGTATACATGTTTGTTATTTGTGTATTTCTGGAGGTATAATTTTTTTGGTTCATCTGTTTGGTTTTCTTTGATTTTGTTGTTTACCTGTTTTTCGATTTCCTACAGATTGAATGGTTGTGAAGTTTATAGAGCATCTTTTGAAGCATTAATGAAGAAGAATAATTTCCTTTTCTAAAGCCATGTAGATTGATACATCTATAGTATATGTGCCACATTGCCAGATTGCTGATTTTATGCACACATTGTTAACTATATTTAGAATTCCAGCTTTCTCCAAAGACTTGCCATGATCTCTTTCTGAGCTGGCTTTGAAATCCTTAACCATTTTCGTTTTAAGAATTAAAATAGTAAAAATCGAGAAAGATAAAATTGTGAACTTACATTTCCTCAAATGAGCTCAGCGAATGTAAGTCATGGTCTCATCCTCACTAGCATTATTTGTGGCCCATTAGAATCTTATGATATGTAAATGTAGCTGTTGTTGAAGTTCTTTTCAATGGGGACAAGTTAATCCTCCACTAATCTTCAAGGGATTCTGTTATCCTCCTCATCCCCATGATACCACTAGGAATCCCTCCACATAATCTTTGTGCACATCATCTTAACCACCACTAGTCATTGTGATTGTTGTTGCAACCTTTAGATTAATTAATCTTCAAGGGATTCTGTCATTACCTCTCTTCCCGTGTGACTAGGAACCCCATGGTACCACGAGGAATCCCTTCCACATAATCTTTGTGCACATCATCTTAACCACCACTAGTCATTGTGATCATTGTTGCAACCTTTGTTATCTTCTTGTTCATATCCTCCTCTAATTGCCCCTCTCTTTGATAATGAGTTTAAAGATACATGTAATCCAATTTATGACATTGTAACATGCTATTTAGCCTTCTCAATTGCCTCTTCCTTAGGTTTAAATTCACATACACTGATTTGTGGTGCTTCTTGCTTGGAAACCTATTTTTCCTTGATGTGTGGATCCATTGGAATGTGCTCTAGTTTCACACGCACCTTATGGTTGGGCATGTTTGGCTTAGGACCTTGATTGTGATTCTTGGCAAGTTGGGAGTATCACCTCCATGTTTATCCGACCATTTTGCCAAAAGGGATAAGAAATTTACTCAAATTCGAGTAACATCACATTGGAAAATATAAGAGAATGGCATAATATTATAATGTATAGCACTATGAACTGATAAGTAACCTGGTTCTAGTTGTGCGTGACTTCTACTTCTGCTGTGAGGCTTAACTGAAAAGCACCTTGTGCATCCATATATGGAGCAATAAAAAAGAATAGTCATAGGATACATAGGTGGATCACATAGATGCATTATGCATTGGATAGATCATCACAGGTTCACAATTTTATAATTCAAATAAAACCCAAATTTACCTCTTTGAATGCCTCATTTTGTGCCATCTCATCGTGCTTCAATATTTCATGGTATTACTTCAACCTTCGATGATCTTAGTTTGCTTGCTTTGATGTGCGGTGTAATGGTATGTTGGTTGAGAAAAAACCTAAATATCTCATGAATGCTACATGTCCATAGTTAGATATGAAATAAGGAAAACCCCCACAAGGCTCAAACCACATATGTCACAAGTTCACAATTTGCTAATTATTGAATTTGCCTGCTCATTTGATTGGCCGGTGCAGTAGACGACTCTGCTGGTCATTAATTAAGTCCCAATCTTTGTTATAGCTTGCAAATAACTTTGATGACCTGCTTTGCACTGTCCATTGCTTTATATAAAAATCCCATCGTAGGGCAGTAGGCTTCACATCAAATTCAATCCTCTTCAAAACTGCTACGAATGGAGCTGTGCGCTGACAATTTGCTCGTAATTATCTCAAAATCTGTGGCTATTAATTATTCCTTCAACTTCTTACGCAGCTAGAGTTTTGGAGATTGTTGAGTTAACCCATTCTTCTAATGCAACCATCTTCAACCCTGATTATGACTTGCAATTGACCTTATAGTCGAGTATGAGGTCACAAATCTAGTATGCTGGCCTTATCAGCTCTCTTACTGTGGATATCCTCGTCATATTATTGGACCTATGAGAGATAGTGAGCGATAATACATGAATTTTTTTTACAGAATTCCCTTTCTTAACGTAGTTCTTAACTTGCTTTAGTTCGCTGATATCTTCCAACATAATTTCTACCCAGTAAGTTGTGCTTGGGCTCGAAAGTTTCTCATAAGCCTTTTGCTTGCATTCATGCAGTTCTTTGCATCATGTTTTATCTCTTGAACTCCATGCTCCCCAGTAGCCTCCACCACATTCCTAAGGAAGTTAAACAGGATCCCACTCTTGACTTTGTTGGAAGCATCTACACTAGGACAATGATATCAGGAAACTGATCAGAGTCCTTCTGTAGGGTCATTCCAGCCATCTGACATGACTGTTTCTCTTTGAGAAAAAGGTGAACTATCTGACATGACTGTTTCTGCTGTCTTTCACTGCATCAACTTGTATTTCCATCTCATCCAAGCAAGGCCCCCAAAGCTCATATGCAGTCGGAGGCTTGAATCTGGGTCCCATGTGTAATAGTGGTCATCATGGGTTCTTGATATATTGGGTGAGACGGCGACAACAACCACTTGGTGATTGCCTTTGAAATGCTCTTCCTATTTGTCTTGATCCATGAGGATTTTAAGGTTTTCCACTCTTGGTTTGGACAAAAGGGGTGAATTCGACCTTGGATAAGCTTTTTTTGCTGCAATGTCTGGGAAGACAGCGTAGCTTGGGAAGATTGAGAACTACTAAGAGGTCATTGCTTCTCAAGCATGGTGGAAGATTTGAATACTCTTGGAAAGCATCCCCCTTGCCAGGTACTCCATGATTAAGTCTTCAAGGTTAGTCGTGAATGAGTCCACAACAGACCACGTCCACTCAGCCTCCCATGCTGCCCTGCTGTTGGTACATATCTTTTGGGCTGACCTTGCATATTCAAGCTGGGGCACAAAATCCTTTCCTCCTCTTCTTGAGGAGGTGAATACTTTTCTTTCTCTCCCTCTCCCACCCAATTCTCCCCCCTGCCGACCTTTTCTCCTCCCTCAACCACTTTCAGATTTTGTGCTTTCTTGCCTTTTGCTGCCATGATGGGTGCGAGCATTTGTTGCTTGAAATTCACAGGAATCATATCACAAGGCACAACATCACCTGTCGCTTTAGCTAACTGATGTTTTAGGTGTTTTTCTTTTTGTGTGTTTTGCTTTGTGTACAAAACAACACTCTTCTGCCTACAATTTTTGTAATCCTTTTTTAGTAGCGAAATGTGCATTCTCTATTACTTATATATATAGCCAATTATCTCAAAAGAAAATGTTTATTACTGTGATTTTGGAGAGGAAATCTTTGGGGCATGCCAGGAGCATAAAAAACCAACAAAATTAGCGTCATCAAGTTAAAAAAGAAAAACGAAGAACTGATTCTCACTGGTGTGCATGTATAAAAATGTTTGTGTAAATCAAAGTATGGAAAGTATTTATTGTTTGGATTTTTTTTTAAAAAATAGTTGTTACTACAGCAACGGCCTAAGTGTGCTAGAGGAATAAAAATAGTTATAAATCTATCTATCTGCAATTTTATTTTCTGTGCCAATGAAATTTGTTTCAACCTCTTCATCCTCTTTATCTTTCACGTATAAAATGATAATCAATCTCAATGTATTTTGTTCTATCATGAAATATTGGGTTTGCAGCAATTGCTAAAGCACTTTAATTGTCGCAATAGATGTGGACCATCCACCAACTTTGTAACCCAACCAAGAAATGAGACTAGAACCCATGTAATCTCTGCCCCCATTCCAACAATAGTCCTAACCTGATTTTCTAGAATCAGAATCACCTATTGAATCTGCATCTAAACATCCAATTATAGACCCCAAATTGAGACTCACTTGTTTATTTTTCTTATACAACAAACCGCTGTCAATGGAACCTTTCACATACCTCATAATCATCTTTAATGCCTTCATGTGTACGGTGGTTGGCACATGCATGTACTGACATATCTGATTAACAAAATGTGAAATATCTCAGCGTGTAAGAGTCAAACACTGCAATGCCTTTCCATACTTACTATATTTTTTTTGTCTTAACAATGGGTCTTCTTGATCGGGGCATAATCTTCTTGAAGCTACTGGAGTGCAACAAGGTTTACAATTCAACATAGGCTCTTTTAGTATATCTAACGCACATTTTTGCTGTGAAACGTGAATCTCATTGCAAGAACGATCCACTTTCAATTTCTAGGAATTATAGCAAACCTCCTAGGTCTTTCATTTGAAAACTTTCATTGAGGAACTCTTTCACTTCCTATATCATCCTCATATTGCTTCCTGTAACAACAATGCCATCCACATATAACATAATAATAACAATGCCTTTCTCACCCTTCTAAAGGACTAGAGAATTATCATTGGCTGATTGTTCTCCCCGTTAATGTATCATATAAACTGTGGAACTAGGTTCTGGGTCCTTGCTTTAACCCATATATAGATGTCTTTGACTTACAAAAATATTCAACTGAGTTTGCTTCATTGAACGCAGGTGGCTATTCCATATATACTTCCTCCTTTAATGCTTCATTGATCCCAGGTGGCTATTCCGTATATTCTTCCTCCTTTAATTCTCCATGCAAGAAAGCATTTTGAGCATCCAATTGATAAAGTGGCCAATTTTGTAGAGAGCAAGGGATATAACAATCCATGCCACAAATTTTTTTAAAGCAAGACTGAAAGTTTCCTCATTGTCCAAGCCATGCCTTTGTTTAAATCCTCTTGCCACAAGTCTTACCTTGTACCTTTCAACGCTCCCATCAGGTTTATCTTTCACTTTGTATATCCATTTACAACTAACTACATTCTTGTATCTCGGCCTTCGTACGACGCACCCATTGTGGTTAACATGCATGGCCT